TGAGTCGGTCAGTCAGTCGGTCACCAGTTAGCTAGCCAGTCAGTAAGCCAGTCAGTCACCAGTCAGTCAGCAGGTCAGTTAACCAGTCAGTCAACCAATCAGATAGCCAGTCAGGTACTAGCCAGTCAGTCAACTAGTCAGTCAGCCGGGCAGGTATCAGCGGAAAGGCAACCAGTCAAACAAGTAAGTTAGCCAGTCAGTCACTAGTCGGTCACCAAGTCATCGCCAGTCAGTCAGCCAGGCAGTGAAGCAGGTAGCCGATCTGCCCGTCAACTATTAGTAAGGCAATAATTTGGATATATCAACAAAGTTGAAGTGGTAAATTGGCCATCATAACGATTACAAAAGCTGACGTTTCGAGCGTTAGCCCTTCGTCGGAGCGAATAGAGGAATTGTGGGTTATGTGTGCTTTTAAAGGCAGAGAATGGAGCTACGTTATTTGTGGGAACATGGCAACATTTTCTCGTTCCCACAAATAACGTAGCTCCATTCTCTGCCTTTAAAAGCACACATAACCCACAATTCCTCTATTCGCTCCGACGAAGGGCTAGCGCTCGAAACGTCAGCTTTTGTAATCGTTACGGTGGCCAATTTACCACTTCAACTTTGTTGATATATCCAAATTATTTCGTTACTCCCACCGACGCAGCCCCAAACAGTTTCTTTCGAAACTATCAACATTTATTTATTAGTAAGGCAGTCACTCAGCCAGTCAGTCAACAAGTCAGTCAGCAGAGTCAGTAACCACTCAGTGAGTCAGTCCATTACCAGTGGCAGTCAACCAGTCAGTTAGCCCGTCAGGTACCAATGACTAAATCAATCAATCACTTACACAGTCAGTCACTAGTCAGCCAGCCCGTCAGTAGCCCAGAAAGTCACCAATCTGTCAGCAAGTCAGTCAGCCAATCACTCAACCAGTTGTCGACCACTCGATCAACCAGTCAGTCACCAGTCAGTCACCAGTCAGTCAACCAGTTAATCAAGCAGTCAGACATCCAACAATGAACCAGTCAAGCAGCCATTCAGGTACCAGTGAGTCAGTCAATTAGTAAGTAAGCCTGTCAGTGACCAGTCAGGTAGACAGTCAGTCACCAAACGGTCACCAAGTCAGTCACCAGTCGGTCACCAAGTCAGTCAACCAGTCAGAGAGGCACTCAGGTACCATATGACTCGGTTAACCAGTCATTCATTTTCCACTAATTCACCATTCACTCAGTCAGTCAACCAGTCAGTCAACCGTTTAGGTGCCCCTGGGTCAGTCAATCAGTCGTTAACCAATCAGTCAACCAATTATTCGCCAGTTAGTTACCCGGTCAGTTGCAAGTCGGTCAACAACGCAGTGAACCAGTCAGGTGAAAGTAGGTCAGCCAACCAGCCAGGCAGCAAGCCAGTCATCATTCAGCTAGCCAGTTAGTCACCAGTCATTCAGCAGGACAGTTAACAAATCATTCAACCGGTCACGAACCAGTCAGTGGGACAACCAGTCACTAAGTGCATCAGTCAGCCGATCAGTCACTTACCCAGTTAATCACCAATTGGTAACCAAGTTAGTCAACCAGTCAGTCAACCTGTCAGCTACAAGTGATTCAGTAAGCCAGTCATTGAAGCAGTCTGCAACCAGTCGGTGAGCAAAGCAGTCAACCAGTCAGTCAGTCAATTACCAGTCAGTCAGTCAATTACCAGTCAGTCAGCCAGTCAGTCAGCCAGTCAGTTAGCCAGATAGGTACCAGAGAGTCAGTCAACCAGTCAGTCACCAATCAGTCAGTCAGTAAGTAAGGCAGTCAGTCAGCAGCCAATTACCAAGTCATCCGCAACTCAGTCAACAAGTCAATTAGCCAGTCGGTCAACCTGTCAGTCGATCATTCAGCAACTCTGTCACTCAAACGAAATTTAGTCAGCTACTCGGTCAGCTAACAGTGAGTCAGGTAGTCAGCCAGTCAGTCACCAATTATTTAGCCCTCCAATCACCATTCGGTCAGCAAAGCAGTCACGCAATCAGTCTGCTAATCAGTCGTGAATCACTCAAACAGTCAGTTAGCCAGTCACTTACCAGTGAGTGAGTCAGTCAGTCAGTCAGTCAACCAGCCACTCACCTAAAAATGCGACCTAATACAAAAACCTACTTGACTAAGGGTGACTTGAACTTGCCGACTAACTGGTTAACTAAGGGTAAATGAGCGTTAACGTTGTAGAATATGGTTAAAAAAGGGTAGACGAGGGACAACGTGGTAGAACATTACTAACTGAGGGTAGATCAGGGCTAACGTGGTAGCACCCGGTTAACTTAGGGTAGATGAGAATTAACGTGGTAGGATATGGTTAACATAGGGTAGATTAGGGCTAACGTGGTAGAACATGGTTAACTTAGGGTAGATTAGGGCTAACGTGGTAGAACATGGTTAACTTAGGATAGATGAGAATTCACGTCGTAAAAAACTTAGGGACGTTGGGTGTTAACGTGGAAGAACATGGCTAGCTGAGAGTACATGAGGGTTAAAGTGGTATATCATGATTAGCTGAGGGTAGATGCGGGTTAACGTGAAAGAACATGGTAAACTTAGAGTAGTGGAGAACGTGGTAGAACATGATTAACTTACGGTAGATAAAGGTTTTACGTGAAAGAACTTGGTTAACTAAGGTACATGGGGGTTAACGTGGCAAAACTTGGTTAACTTAGGGTAGATATGGGTTAACGTCAATTACCTTAGGGGTAGAAGGTAGCTAACGTGGTAAAACATGGCTAACTGAGGGTAAATGGGGGTTAACTTGTCGACCAAACGTGGTGGGACTTGCTTGGCGCTTCCTTCAAAGGCCTTTATTATGGATTTAACTATCTACATGGATATCTCGCGAAACCCTGGTCCTTCTCCAGCAAGTTATCGGGGTTTAAAGGAAAATTGTTTACGATCTTATCCTTCACGCTTCAGTTCTTTCGTCGACTCGCGTATTGTTTATTCAAAGGGTTATCTTTACTCTCTCAGAAAAAGCGCTGCATCACAAACCCTAACGCCTCCTCTGATATCTTTTCGAAGGAATCTGGGTTTGCTTCGTGCCCGTAGAAAGAGAGCTGGGTGTTCCTCAAGGTACAGTCCTGGGGCCGGTGGTATTTTCTATTTTTAGTAACGATATCAAAGCTGTTAATACTAAGAAGAATCTTCTAGTTAAATTTGCTGATGATATAACTATTAGTTTACCAATCGAGGCAAATGTAGGCTTAGATCAATCCGAAACGGAAATCCTATCCCTTATTGAATGGTCCGAGAAGAACTGCATGAAAGTCAACTTGACGAAAACATGGGAACCTCTTTTACGAGGAAAGACTTCCAAGGCGCCTCCTGAACCACTCGAGATCATAGGGAGGAAAGAAAAACTGAAACTATTGGGTGTTACCTTTGAGCAAGTGCCAGTTAATTGGGACACTCACGTTGATTATCTACTTAGTAAGGCTAGCAGTAGGTTGTATATTTTAAGAATATGTAAATATTATGGCTACTCTATTGAGAATTTGGACTTACTTTTTCAAAGTTTGATTCTTTCAGTTTTTACATATGCTATTGAGGTCTGGGGGTGTGCTTTTTATAGTAAATATTTAAGTAGAATTGATAAGCTGTTTGCCAGGTGTTATAAGCTGTATTACTGCTTAAAGCAGTACAGTATCTTGGATATCCGTTGTAATAGAGATAAGAAATTATGGCAAAGGATCTCTTCCACAAACACTGCGTTGAGCGATCTCTTACCTCCCCAGAGAACACGGCAGTTGAGAACTAGGTCGCGTAATTATATTTTACCTAAGGTTCAGACAAACCGTTTTAAATCAGTTTTTATTAACAGATGTCTTTTCAATAGTAACTAATACCTTTTCTTTTTCGTTATTCATTCTATTCATGTTAATTGTTGCACGTCGGTTTGCACAATAATTCTTGATAAAGACCTTTATATTAGAGACCTTTATAACTTGGTGGAACATGGTTAACTGAGAGTAGATCAGGGTTTACGGGGTAGTCCATGGTTAACTTAGGGGTAAACGAGGGTTAACGTGGTAGAACACGATTGACTTAGAGTAGACGAGGGTTGACGAGAAAGAACTTGGTTATCTTAGGGTACCTGAGGGTTAAGGTGGTACAACATGGTTAACTTAGGGTAGATGAGGGTTAACGTGAAAGAACTTCGCTGACTTTAGGTAAGTGGGGGTTAACGTGGTACTACATGGCTAACCAAAGGTAGGTGGGGGTTAACGCGGTAGAACATAATGTGTTCGCGCCATCATGGCTGCCGGTTCTAGTTTCAGGCTCCCGTTAGTTTATTTGATTTTGGCTTTCCTTGCTAACAAGTTCTGTCTTTATGCTACTGGAAAGATCTCCAAGGTCACTACCTTTGCAACTGGCAACAGTTTCGACCTGGACGGCTCTGGATTATTTCAGAGATATGATGAGGTCTGTTTGCAGGTTGTTAAATTTAAATCAATCAAGTTTACTTCTCGGACAAGAATACGCCGCGAAAGTTCAGTTTGGATGAAATATGGAATTCAACATGTACAGACTCCTGATTTGGACTTCCTACAGGATCTAACTATCTGTGTCGACGTTGAAGGCAACCCAGGAGAAATTGAATTATTACAAAAATCAAATTCTTCTTCGAATCGTTCATCAACCTCGTTTTGTCCATTGTTTACGGCCGGATGGAACTACGATCATTGAGGAAACTAGCAAGCTCGTATATTGCACCTACTGTGTTTAGTCGCCTTCAGAGCCTTCGCATCTCAAGAAAACGTGGTAATCGTGGAGGTTGTCCACGCGTTGGATCTAGTTTTCAATCTATTCGGTCGTTAGGAAATTTTGGAAATCAACGAAAATCTTACTCGCGTATTCGCCATGCCATGATCAATACTCGCGTATTGATCATGCTAATTTGATTCAAATTAACACCCTCCTCAGAATTATTACGACACACATCGTCACCTTAAAGTTTGTGTATGGAACGCTCAATCGGTAAGGAATAAAATGGCGAGTTTTGTCAACTACATCTATGACAATGAATTTGGCATCTTGGCAATTACCGAGGCGGGGTTTTCGGATAAAAATGCCGCGGTGAAAGCTCAATGTACTCACGATGGTTATAAGCTGTATGACGTACATAGATCCGGCCGTAATGGTGGAGGTACAGCTTTGATTACTGGTTCAAATATAACTGTCAAGCAGGTTGTAACTCCTACGTGGTGCTATTTTGGACTCTACGAGTGGATTGTAATCAATGGATCTTCTCGCTTACGGCTTGCCATCGTCTATAGACCTCCTTACTCTACAAAGTATCCTGTAACAATTTTTTCCTTTGTTTCCGAATTCTCCCAGCACCTTGAATCATTTGTCTTATGCACGGAGCCCATATTGTTATGCGGAGACTTTAACATCTATGTGGATTTCCAGGATAATCCAAATGCAGAATTATTTCTGGATCTTATTGATTCTTTTGGACTTGCTCAACATGTGCACTTTGCAACTCATGTTCAAGGACATACACTAGGTCTAGTTATTACCAGAAAAATGGACAGTATCATCCAAGACGCGCCGATTTCTGGCTCTTTTTTATCCGACCATGCGACTGTATCGTTTAACTTGAAATGTTTCAAGTCAGAATCCTCTGCCAAGGTAATGTGGTTTCGGAAAACTAAATTTGCTAATCTTCTCAAGTTTAAGAACGATCTTCGTAATTCAGAATTCTTACTAAATACTCCCAAACACCTTGCTGGTCTCGTTAATTGTTTCAATACCACTTTGAAGTCCATCATTGACAAACACGCTTCTTGGCGGAAGAGAACCATGATTCAAAGAGCTCAAGCTCCATGGTTATCCGATGAGATCAGATCTGTGAAACGTGACCGGAGGATAGCCGAGCGTAACTGGAGGTCTACAAAGTCTGCATCTGACCGGAGAACATTTAAACTTCTTAGGAATAAAGCTTTCTTTCTTATGAATAAGTCTCGTTGCGAATTCTACACAGATCTCCTCGGTAACCTTTCTGATGATCAACGCAAGCTTTTTGCTGCTACAAAGAAACTGTTAAATCAACCAGCTGAAACGCCCTTTCCACCACACGGCGACAAGTTAGCCTTGGCGAATGACATGGGGTCGTTCTTTGTCAATAAAATATTGGATCTTCGTGTTAACCTTGATGCAACTGAGAATTCGTACAGCAGTATTACCCACCATTCTTCTCGCTGTGCTTCTTCTTTTACTGCTTTTCGCCGTGTAGACATGGACTATCTGAGGAAACTTGTGCTTAAAGCGCCAACAAAATCTTGTGTACTTGACCCTGTTCCTACTAACATCATGAAAGATTGCCTAGATGAGTTACTTCCGATATTATCAACCATGATAAACTTGTCGCTTGAATCTGGAGCTTCTCCTGATATTTGGAAAGACTCAGTTGTTTTCACCACTCCTAAACAAAACAAGGTCTTGACTTGGTCTTTAAGAATTTTCGACCAATCAGCAGTCTTTCCTTTATTTCAAAATTGGTTGAAAGAGTGGCAGCCAATCAGATTCAATCCTACGTAAATGAGCATGATCTTTTTCCTTCACTGCAATCAGCCTATCGACAGCACCATTGTACAGAAACCGCCCTACTTAAAGTCAAGGATGACATTTTGATGAACACGGAAGATCAGTGCGTCACGTTGCTTATGCTTCTTGACCTAAGCGTCGCGTTTGATACCGTTGACCCTCGAATTGTCTTACATTGTCTCTAATCTGATTTTGGAATTTCATGCTCTGCACTCAACTGGTTTGAATCATTCCTCTCTAACAGAACCCACCGCATCTCTATAGATGGAGTTCTATACAATATCTTCAATGTTAAATTTGGAGTTCCACAAGGCAGCTGCCTCGGGCCATTATTATATTCTCTCTACGCCAACAGGCTTTTAAAGATCGTCGAATCACATCTTCCTAATCCCCATTGTTACGCAGATGACACACAACTCTACATCGCGTTTAGACCAGGAAATGACATGGAGGAAATCGCTGCCTTAACTGCCATGGAATCTTGTATCACTGATATTAGTCAGTGGATGCATCTGGCGGATAAGTTCAAACTGAATGTGGATAACACAGAATGTTTTTTGATTGGACCGCGACAAGAACTTCAGAAAGTCAGTAACATTAGTATCTTATCGATCGGCGAGTCCCAAATTGCTCCATCATGTGAAGTTCGAAACTTAGGAACCTGGTTTGATTCGAAAATGAGTATGCTAAGTCATATTAACAGAACCTGCTCAGCTGCATTCTATTATCTTTACAACATACGTCGAATTAGAAAATATTTAAGTCGTTCGGTCACTGAATCATTCGTTCATGCTTTCATAACCAGTAGAATAGATTATTGTAACAGTCTACTATACGGCCTCCTGAATTCACATATCATGAAACTCCAACGGATACAGAATGCCACTGCTCGGTTGGTCACTGGATCACCAAGATACTGCCACGTTACACCATTGCTTTTCCCTCTTCATTGGCTTCCGATTAGTTACCGTATAAAGTTTAAGATTTTGCTTTTGACATTTAAGTGCTTGTATGGTCTAGCTCCTAATTGTTTGACTGATTTAATTAGGATCAAAAAGCAATCCAGGTACTCTCTTAGGTCAAACGAGTCTTTATTACTCGAATCACCTAACACTAAGACCCGTCCAACCCTTGGCGATCGTGCCTTCCAGTCAACTAAACCTTATCTCTGTAATGCATTACCTTCCACAATTCGCAACTTAAAGACATTAGACGCTTTCAAGACTGCTGTCAAAACTAATTTTTTTAAATTTAGCTTTCAAATAGTTTAACTAGTTTTCACTGGGTAACTATTCCCTTCGAGTGCATAGGTTCGCAGGTTTTAATAGTTCCTTATATTTTTAGTTACTTTTAACATAATTTTACCTTACGATATTGTAAAGCGCGAATGAATATATCCACATAGAGGTCTGCGCTATATAAATGTAAATTATTATTATTATTATTATTATTATTATTATTAGAACATGACTAACTGAAGGTGGATGAAGGTTGACGTGGTAGACCATGGTTAGCTTATGGTAAATGAGGGTTAACGTGATAGAACAAACTTAACTAAGGGTAAATCAGGGTTAACATTGTAGAACATGGTTAACTAAGGGTAGATAAGGGTTATTTCGGTAAAACATGGCTAGGTTAGGGTAGACGAGGGATAAAGTGTTAGAATATGGTTAACTAGGGCTATCTGGGGGTTGACGTGGTAGAAAAAGGCTAACTAAAGGTAAATGAGGGTGGAATAGTAGAACATGGTGGTAGAATAACACGTGGTAGAACATCGTTAACTTAGTGTAGATGGGCGTTAATCTTACAGAACATGACTAACTGAGGGTAGATGAGGGCTAACGTAGTAGAACATGGTTGCCTTAGGGTAGTTGACGGTTAACATAAAAGGAATTGGGTAACTTAGGGTATATGGGGGCAACATGGTAAAACATGGTTAACTTTGGGAAGATTGGGGTTAACGTGGTAGAATATGGATAACTGGGGGTAGATGAGGAGTAACGTGGTAGAACATTGTTAACTGAGAGTAGATGAGGGTTAATGAGGCAGAAAGTAGTTAACTTAGGTTAGAGGGGGCTAACTTGGTAGAACATGGCTAACTGACTGTTAGGGTTAACGTGGTAGAACATGGGTAACTTAGGGTAGATGAGGGTTGACGCGAGGGAACTTAGATGGGGGTTAACTTAGATGGGGGTTAACGTAATAGAACAAGGCTAACTAAGGGTAGATGGAGGTTAATGTGGTAGAACATGGTTAACTTCGGGTAGATGAGAGTTAGCTTGGTAGAACATGGCTAACTGAGTATAGATGACGGCCAACGTGGTAGAACATGGTTAACCAAGGGCAGATGAGGGTTAACGTGAACGAACATGTTGAACTTAGGTTAGATGATTGTTAACTTAGTAGAAAATGGTTAACTTAGGGAAGATGGAGGTTAATGCGAGAGAACATGGCTGAATGAGGGTAGATGAGGGCTCATGTGGTAGAACATGGTTAGCTTAGGGTAGACGGTGGTTAACGTGGTAGAACATGGTTGACTTAGGTAGATGAAGGTTAACGCGAAAGAACCTGTTTAACTTAGGGTATATGGGGGTTAACGTGGTAGAATATGGTTAACTCATGGTAGACGAGGGTCAACGTGAAAGAACTTGGTTAACTTACGGTAGATGAGGGTAAACGTAGTAGAATGTGGCTAATAATACAATACAATAACTTTAATTTGAACACGATGGTGATTAAAGCGATGCCCCTTGTGGGGTCGTGCATTTAAGCTAACTAAAAACTTAAGAATTAAAAGCATATTAAAATTATCTCAATATTATTGTGGGACATTGTTTGCGGAGATTCCGCCTGAAAGTCTAGATTATGTAATTTGTCATATTTAGAGGCCGTTCCAGATTGTAGTGTAGTTCTCAACGTTGGATGTCTTTGCGAGATCTGGAGTGAGAGGATTCCACACAATAGATGCTCTGAATGCTAGCGAGGTACTGTTACTGTGTTCATAGCTCGTAAGTGATGCCTAGGAGAAGTATTCTTAGATAAGATATGCCCCATAGGGGAAGGAGTGCAATCATAAAAGATCTTATGTGCTAATGCTGCTAACTTGACTTTGTACAAAAGGTACAAAGAATCCCATTTCTGCGGTGGGCATATCTCGCGTAAAGCCATACTTTAACTTATCAGCTCCACAGTGTAGAGATTCCAGGGCGAGGAACCCGTCCTTGTTAGTAAAACTTCCCCATATCGGCAACGCAAAGGATACAGAGGGTAGCATTATCTTAAAATATAAGTATAGGAGTATGTGACGTGGTAAAAAAGAACTACGCTTAAGTAAATTTAATTCGTCAACAAAACTTTTTTTCACCTCAAAGATATGCTGAGCCCATGTGAGTTTGTCATCGATAGTTACGCCTAACAATCATGCGGGGGTCACCCATTTTATCGTGTGTTTGCACAGTGTGAGAGCGTTGAGTGGGCCAGAAAAAACTGCCTTTTAGTGGCAGTCCTACCACGTTAGCCGTCATCTATACTCAGTTAGCCATGTTCTACCACGCTAACTCTCATCTACCCGAAGTTAACCTTCACAATTTCTGGGGTGAGGGATCATGTTGTTCTTTGAACTCCAATCTTCTAATCCCTTGAATGCGTTAGTGAGTGTGTTGGTAACGGAGTCCATTGAGTCATTTATACAATAGATTGTCGTGTCGGCGGCATACATGTAGAGAAATGCAAAACTGAGAGCCTCGGGTAAATCGCCAGTATATAGGACGAAAAGTGTTGGTCCCAACACGGAGTTTGAGGTATCCCGGAGGTAACGTAAGCTAGGTCAGAGAATTCTTCATTTACTACGGCGTATTGTTTTCTTTTACAGATATAGTCTTATCCAGTTGAGTAGGTTCCCCTTGATCCCGTAATTACATTCAACTTTGAGGATTGAGATTTTATGGTAAATGCTGTGAAACGCTTTTTTTCGATAAATAATACGCCAGCGACAAGGTTGGAGTCTAAAGCGCGTCTCCAGGTCTCAGTCAGATGTAAATCGGTATAGTGGCCTTTGCGGTAAGCCCACTGATATTCAGTTATCAGCTGATTGCGAGTGAAGACATGGTCAACAATGGAGTCGGTGACGCAGTACTCAGGAATTTTGCTTGGTACACTTAACATGGACAATGGGCGATAATTTCATTTATCTGACTCGTCGTATTTTTTAAACATGGGATTTATGTGGCTATCTTCCAGTCATCGTCAACTTTCGCTTCTCTCAGGCTACGTAGATATAAGTTAGTCGGTAGCACGGCAATAGATGTTCCAGAAGCTACAAGTAACGTTAGCGAAATGCCATCGGTCTCCAAGGTCATAGGTTTCCTCTCGACTTCACCGTATGATACTCGAGCTTCGTATGTGCATGGGACAGGCTTAGTGTCTATGGTAGTGTCTGGTACTTAGCATGGTTACTGTAATAACCAGCGAAACAGTTTGTTCAAACACCCCAGAATTTTAATAATCAATAACAGGGGGTCAAATCACAAGTTATTTTACCAACTTCAAGTTACTAAACCATGGTACATCCGTTTTTTGTTGATACTGGGTCAACAATCACAAGAAAATCGAATTGGTGGGGAAATACAAAGTCCTAAACGTGCTCACCAATAAAAGTAAAGTAGTGGCTCTTGTAGTCACTGTTTTTTATTTTAAAGTTTTTCGGCGGAAAATAGAAGCCTCTAGGTAACAGCAGCTGCTGTTGCTACAGCACCTCAAGAAAATGAGGCCGAAACGAATGTTTTTACTTCAAATAATTATACGAGACTGTGACGTGCGAGACGAGCATGGTCATGGCGAAGGAACCAATTCTGGTTCGAGAACCTCCTTCATGGAGCTTTTCGTTGGAGATTGGTGGAAGGAAAACTTCAGAATATCAAGGCGTGCGTTTGAGGATATTGTTCGCATAGCTGGTCCACATATGGCGAAAAAGGACACTACACTGCGACAATCTATTCCGGTGCACAAGCAAGTGGTGGTAGCATCATGGAGGTTAGCAACGGTTGACACATACAGATCTGCGGGACTACAAATCGGCATTGGAAAGTGCACGGCCATGTTGATTAAACAGGATTTTTGCCAGGCCATCGCTAGACGCGCTCCAGAATTTATTAAATTTCCACAAACTGAGAAAGGAGTGCAAAAAAGTATTACATTTTACAAACATGTCTCCATTTCCCTAAATAGTGGGCGCAATCGACGGTTGTCATATTGCTTTGAAAACAGTGCCTGTAGATGAGCGGATTGATTACTTCAATCGAAAGCAAGATTATTCTGTTGTGATTCAAGGTGTTGCAGATGCGTCATTTCTACTTTTTGATGCGGGTGCCAGCTACCCTGGTAGCATTCATGACGCTCGTATTTTCGTTTAAGCGGACTGCGCCGGGAAATTGATCAAGGTAACTGGCTGAATGGGCCTACGAAACAATTTTAAGACCTGGAAACTGGACCTTTGCATATCCCTTATCTTTTTGTCTGATGAAGCATTTTACGAAAACACGTACGTTAAGTGAAAGGCAACTGCGTTTCAATCGTGCACTCAGTCAAGACTGAGTTGTTATCGAGCAGGCCTATGGAATGTTGAAAGGGCGCTGGAGGTGCCTTTTCAATGCACTGGAGAGAAAGACAAGTAAAATGGGTATCACTATCTTAACATTCTGCGTCCTTCACGATATTTTTATAGATGATGATTATGACATGGGTAAAAGCTTCAACGGAGACGTATCACCAACTGCATCTGATGTTAGAGACAATATTATGGAGTATCTGTCATTTTAAGGGAATAGACAAAGATCCTACGGCAATGTATTTGCATACTTCCACATTTGACTTTTAATTCTATTCCTCCAAGAAAAGCAGCTGAAATCCTTAACTTCTGCCCATGAAATTTTGTCGATAATATACAGGCAGAGTGGGACGTCTTCA